GAGCCTGATGCCTCCCCATGCAGCCCCCCCAGTAGTGTACTCTGCCTCCTCATCCTGGGATCTGTGAGTCTAATAAGCTATTTGTTTTTTTTGCAATCATCTCCTGATCTGTTGGTTTCACCATACCAGAATAGTAATAAAGTCAGTATGTTAAGCAGCCTTGTGATCTTTTTTTGAAAATTGAGCATTTGAAGAAAGAGCCAGCTCTCCCAGGGTTGCAGACTGGCTACATGCAGGGAGTAGCCTTCACTAATTAGCCCAGGGAGAACGTCTTCTGGTGTTTCTGGGCATGCATCTTCCCTGGGCTGAGCAGGTGCTATCTTCCCAGTCCCCCAGTATACAAGGCTACTCTTAAATATCTTACTCTCCCTAACAGTCTTAACCTTTTTCTCCTTGGGCTGGTCTAATTGACTCTTCAATTGGTCATCTCTTGCCCCAGGCATCTGCATACCTGTAGTCTCCTTGAGGTTCTCACAAGCCATGTTTGCTCCTCGTGGCCTCGTATTGCCTGAGATCTGAGTTCAGCTGGTTCTCTGAACCTGGAGGCAGGCAACTCAGAGACCAGGCAGCTTGACGATAGGCTAGAGCACTGCAAATTCTATGTGGTCTGCTCTCTCTGTTTGACAGAAGGAAACTGGTGAGGGAGCTCCTTTTCCCCAAAACCATGCCAGGCCACACTGGAGAAGGGCAAGAGTACGTAAAAATACCATTTCCTACCATTTCAACATAGCTTTTCTTTGATAGGGCATTTGCTTGATTGTTACAGATCTTTGACTTCCAGAGCTCATATAAAGTTATGGTCCTTGGATTCTAGTTGTTCAGTCATGTTTCCATGGGGGGAACAAGGGCTTGGGTTCTCCTAGTCTGCCCTCTTGCTGATGTCTGGGCTATACTCTCTTCTTCTATAAAATGAATGTGCTTCTCTTTGGACGCCCATGGAGGTCTAATCTAGCTCAAGAAAAGCTATGATAGTACCAATTTCCAAAAGGGCATTTCCACCTATTCATCTTAAATAAAACCTGGCCAAATGCAGCTACACCTCTTCTACCACACTTCATAATGGGAAGAAGCAGGAGGGGATCGTTAATGCTGTCCTCTGCCACCTGAAGTTAACAGGTTAACAGGATAGGACGCAACGGAAAAGGACTCTGGATGCCATAATGGGAACTTGCTAGGCCTAGCAGAAAGAACACAGACCTTGCAGAAGACTGCTGGAAGCCAAACCAGGAAAGGTATAAATGGAAGGAAGTGGAAGTGTGACAGCTAATTGCCATTTTAGCTTATACTTCTACACAAAGTAACTGTGAGTCCATTATTCTGATTGCTGTACTGATTAAAGACAGTGGCCAATCCCCTGGTTCCTAATAAAATCCTCAGACTATTTTCTACAAATGACATTTATGTTAATATTTGTTTCAAGTCCCTAGTTCTTATAAGATTTAAGTATGATTTTTTAAATAGTACATAAGGATTTGACTTCTAATATTATTCGAAGAGAGGAGTATAGGAAGAACAGAACCTAACTTGGAAAATAAAGTTCAATTTTTAAAAATATTTGATTACACAAATATTTGGTTTTCCTTATAAAGCACTTTAAAAAAATTATTAAATGACAAATCTAATTTCTTGTGTTCTTACAAAACCTGTTTGCCTCTAAATAAGCCTGAGGTGTTGTCTGATTTTATTTCCATGACATAATTGGCATTCTTCAAACTCTGTGTCCCCACCGAAGTGAGCACAGAGTAAACACTACTGATCAGGTGTGAGGAGCAGCAGCTCTCAAGCATGAGCCATAATGTCTCTGTTCCACACATGCCTCAGTGGCATCCACTCTCAATACCTCCACTTCTTGTTGAGATCATTGGAGATTACGGACTTGGTCAGTCCTTCCTCAAAGCCTCCACCTTGGCACCCTCACACCCACCTCCTGTTTCACTGATTAAAAGATAACCTTTCTTGTCCTTCCTGCATCTTCACCCCCTCTGTTCCCTGGTGCTCCAGACCCACTTACTAGCCACACAGGGCCACCTACTCCCACAATGCCCCCCAGAAGCTCCTGCTGGGCATGGGTGCCCCTCTCTCCAGGCTGGAACCAGTGATGAAGCATTCCAGCCTTCGTCCACTCTAATCCCTTCAAACCTCATCCATTTCCATTCACATTTGTTACAAACCACCAGCAAAAGAATCAGCTTCCAGCCGGCTGCGTGTTGATTACACCCACTAAATTATGAGAGTGTGTTTAAGTGAGCATAGCTTTGACCTTCAGTCATGATTTCATATGCCTCTGCTCTGTCTCCTAGAATCTTCAAACAAGAGGTGCACAAACTTTTGTGTTTCCTTAGTTATCTGGGGCCATCTAGGGTCCATCAGCCTCATGTCCTTTTTGTAGAGATCAAAGCCAGCTGGCAGAACCTCCAAAACCCATCTATGTCCCCCAGATTTCTTCTCCAGGTACCTCCACTCTTTCGAAATCATGGAGGCATGCTCACCTCTTCCAGAGACAACCTCCCTCCATGGTCTTCCTCTACCTGTCTCCAGGTATGATATGGCCTATCAAGTCCCTTTCTCGCCCAATGTTCAAAATATTCCTTTTCTTCACATCATCCCACCAAAACCTCCAATTATTCCTTATTTTAGACACACACAGTCCCTCTGCTCACCCTTCTTCACAAACTTCCATTAAGTAGAGTTCATCCGTGTAGTCTCCCAAGTCTCTGAAACCACTTCTCTGCTTCACTCCATCCACCGTGATTTCTATCCATACAGCTCCACTGAACTAGCTTCCTGGAGGCCACCATCCTAGTCCCAGCTCATTGTTCCTAATAACTCTGGGACACTGGGTCATTCATTTTCCTTTACCTTTTTTCTTGACATGCGGGCCTTCCCTGGCCTCCATGCCTCTTCCTGACTGGGGGCTGCCCCTCTCTCCCTCTTCCTACTGTGCTGGCCACGGGCCTCTTTCCTTTGCACCTTTGCCTGACGTGTGCAGGATCTCAGTCCCTGACCAGCCTAGTCCATAATCCTTCCTAAGGTTAAGACTGGGTGGATTTTACTCATGACCACACTACTGAGCTTGTATCTCTAGGTTTCTGAATCTTATTGCACATACTCATCTAACGTGTGACTCAAACCCAGCATCTCTGGACCTGTACAAATCACTTCACCTCTGCCTTGAAAACCTTTCTTTCTCCTGACTTACTTCTTATAATGTCTAGTAAGTCATTCAGTCTTAAAAGCTCAGATTTATATTTTACATCCTCAATCTCTTCCCGCACATTGTTTTAGTTGTCAGGTTCTTTAAATTCTTTCCTTTCTCCATCTCAACACCTCGACCTTTTTTCCCATCTGTCTGCACTTTCTAATTTCACTTTTTTCTTCTAGATACATCCTAGTCTTGACTGGGTTGCCCTCCAACTGTGAACAGCATCCTTCCAATAGGTCACTTGATTGCAACCAACCTTCCTCCCTTAAATTCATGGCTTCCACCTTATTCTTTCTTACACGTTCTTTGATCATGCCATTCTCATTCTCAAATATACATCATGGCTGTCAACCTAAAGTGTGCACTCCTCACTCTGTCACTCAAACTCAAGCAGAATCCGGCCTCAGACAACCTCTCAGAGAGACCAACAACTATCTACATTCACCTTTACACTGAGGTCAGACTGGATGCCCCCAGAGAACTTTATGGACACTATAATTCTCTTATGTCACTAATACCTACAAGAGCTCCCTGACATAGCCAAACCTGTGTACGTAATTCCAGTTTCAATGTTAGTGACCCCCTCTATTCATGCCCATCAAAGTGACCTCACAGTTTGACAGAGTAGAAAAGCAAAGGTTCTGTTATCAGCTAGACCTAGAATCAGATCATGGCCCCATCAATCAATTTGCTCAGAGCCATAGCTGGCAGGTAATTTCTCTGAACTTTGGTTTTCTAATCAGTGAAGTAGGCAAATACTGTCCACCTTACAAAATTGATATGAAAATTAAACGAGACCATAATGTTAAATATCCAACAGAGCCCCTCTTACATTTCAGACACTTAATACATATCACTCTGCTGCCCCTCATCTGTGGGACTTGATACTTTTTTAATACTTTTCTTAGGCATACACACTTTTTATCTTTTATACTACTAATTATTATTCCAAAATAATTTCAGTGCCACAAATAATTAAATCTGTTTCATTAAAAAGTTGATGGAGAAAGGAAAATAAACAAAGAAGAACAAGATAAGGTTAGAGTAATGTGATAGCATACTGAGGTACCTGTTTAACATTTATTTCCATGTAAATTAATGCTTCAACAAATACACTTTGTATATAAATTATGATGAACATGTCCTGTTGGTGCTCAGAAATCTGATTTTTTCGTTCATTTCTTTTTTCTTAAGAAACTGAATAAACTGGCTAAATTACAATTTATCCCACCCAACTGAAGCATACAACATCCCCTTAAACCAATAATTCACTCTGGATTCTAGAAATGGTTATGTGGCATTTTTTTTTAAATGAACTGTTATATTCAAGTAAATAATAATAATGTCATTATTTCAAAATAACAAAGCATAGGTGGTAAATCTACCACCAATGTAAATAATTGATGAGGTGACAGCCCCACATAAAACAAATGATGATGTTCAACTTCCCAACAATTAATGGGTGATTATGGATTCCACATAATAGGGTCTTTAGAAAGAGAAATTATGTTTGTTTCTGTGAGATATTAAAGTCAGTAGGAGAGAACTCTCATGTCATCCTCTACTCCCCTTGGTGTACCAATGAGGCCATCACCTCAAGAAAGCCATGACATTCAATGCCACCAAAAGGGGCAGACAGGGCCCAGGACTTTGCGTGGGCTTATTATGCCACGGCTGCCAGTGGCAAACTGTTCAGTCACTCTCCATACTCCTAGGCAGAATCTTATTTGACTCTTTCACTTTCAAAGACATTGTCTTTTTAAAGTAGTAAATTATAATGCATGAAAAATAACATTACCGTATCGTCTCCAGTCCACGCCAGGGGGTAAGGATGCCCACAAAATAAGGTTGTTCAGATGATTTAAGTAGGAAGGTAGGGAATGGAAACTCTTCTGATTATACCACACCTACAAGAGAAAGGTAATTTAGTGGCTCTCACAAAACTAGTTCTTCAGTCTATTTGTCAGCCATCCTTGGACTCAAGGAACACATGTGTCTGTTAGCTTCTATGGCACCTGAGCTCAGGACTCAGAGGAATGTTCCTGCATGGCTGACAGTGAGCAGCAAATTCTAGTCTGCTAATTTTATATTTATTTCAAGCATATAATTTACAGCTAAAAATAGATTAATTTTTCCCAGAACAAATGTGAATGTTGCTCTATAATTATGTTCTCACAGCGAAAAAGGAATCTGAGCCCATCATTTTTTTTCTCTCTCAGTTGGTAAGCTAATGAAATTTGACCTGCAAATTAAAAGCAGAGAAAGTGATCAGAAAAAATGATTACTTTCAAATTAATAACTGAATGTGGAACATTATTTCTCAAAATAAATTGAACTGAACATTTGCTGAACATGGAGAATAAAGTAGTATGCCTGTCAGACAGGAGAAGATGGGGAAAATTGGAGACAGAGTTATTAAAGTTGAGACAATAAATAGCATAAAAAATACTAATTGGACCATCAGTAACTATATTTTAATGAAAAATTTAAAAAATATACTCAGTTTGGAAAGTTGGTGAATATCTTCAAGAAGCATAATGTACCAACTGGCAGATTTGGGCCTAATTCAATTGAGTGGATGATTCATTTCTTTAGATAATGCCATCTTCTGCGATAGACCATCTTCTTTGCAGAATTAGAGCTCATCCCCAGTAAGTTAATGTTTTCAGGAACCTACTCAAGTTCATGCAAATTTAGGACCAGTTTATGCAAAATTAGGACCAGAACTCAAGCACCTCATCTCCAACCTACCTCATCACATATGATAGATCATTTGTTAACCAGAGCCTTGTGTTAATATGTTCATGGGAACAGCTAAGTAGTAAATTATTGTTCGTGTACTTTAAGATAACCGTCTATACAAGACAATGTTACCCAGTTCTTTCTCATCAAGCAACTCAGAACATAGGCCCCTTATCTTCTTCATGCCAGCAATTACTATCATCCCTTCTTCAGGTATTTTCTCCCATGCACAGGGACTGGCCATATTTCTGGAAATGACAGAAACTTGGGATTCTGTGAAAGTCTAGGGGTGGATTACTAAGGTAGGAAGACCCCTGCCAGTGGAGCCTGGAGTCTCCCATCACACTGCCCGAGACCTTCCTCTCCCCAGGCTCAGCTACCCTGTTTAACTGGAGGAAAAAATTTGATCAACGTAAGGAGTTTTCTAACTTCATTTTGCTGTATTTGTTTGTTTTAAGTTTTGTTTTAAAAGCAGGGTGATTTTTTTTTAAGCTTAAAAATGACACTGTTGGGGAGGGTGGGTGGGTGGGGAGGGAAAAGGGATTCAGGGGCACTATGATACACAGTCACAATGTAGGTAGGTCATGGGGAGGGCACAGCACGGAGAAGATGAGTAGTGACCCTATAGCATCTGACCACTCTGATGAATAGTGACTGTAATGGGGGGTGAGGACTTGATCATATGGATGAATGTTGAAACCACAATGCTGCTCATGTGAAACCTTCATAAGGCTGTGTATTAATGACACTATAAGGAAAAAAAAAAGAGTCGGTGGACCAACCACGAAGGGCTACCTGAATAAAAAAATTAATAAATAAATAAGACACTGAACAGTGTCTTTTTTGCATGGAAACCAAAGTGACGTGCTAGGGGAGAGGCTGGGCACACGCAGCCTGCTCACCCACGGCACTCTGAGCTCACAGGCAGTGGAGTCTGGCTGCCCTGATGCCCCATTTCTCCACCTTCCCTGCATCCATACCATTTGCCAGACAATCGCCATGCCCTCCCACTCAGACACTGGGCTCGGCCACGTGACCTGCCTTGGCCAATAGGATGTGGCACCAGCAGGGGTTTGCAGAGCCTTTGAGTGTCCATCACAGGCATGGCAACAAGAAACTGAAGAACACTGAAAGGGGATGGTGTTGAGTGCACCTTTCAGGGGACAAAGGGCATCTTGATACCTGAGTACCCTGACCTTTCCAAGATATCACAGTTCAGTTTTGGAGGGAGGCGCATGTCTCCACAAGAATGCTCAGTGCGGCTCAGGGACCTCAGCAGGACAAACTGAAAGCGTGTCAGGTTTCACAGGGGCTGGATGAAGAAGGTAGGGCCAAGTGGACTTCATGTGAAAGGGAAATAGGCCCCACTCCCTGCAGTCCGGAAGCAGGTTGGGACGTTGCTCAAAAGGTCTATTTCCAAATGTTGTTTCCATGTGTGGCCATCAAAAAGGATAGACAGAGAAGCACTTGGCAGTAGAGTTGAGGGCCTCTGAGAACCGTGAAGTAGGGTCACCACAGGTTGCAGGACCACGAGCTCAGTGAGGAATGCTACCCATTGAGAGGGAGGCTGGCAGTTTGCTGAGCGTAGCCTGACCCCTGGATCCACAGGCCAAGTGAATGTGTGTGTGAACGGTACTGATGGCTGTTGTTGCTCGTCATATAACATGATCTTGGCAATACATGATTGATACCCAGAAGTTGAGACACCCTTGAACTTCATTTCAGTTGTTCTACAAATTGAACCTTATTTGAGAGACATTTTATGAATTCTTTAATAAGCAAAACACACTTTATGATGATCTTAAATTAATACTGGAGATTTAGCAGAGTTCAAAGGAAGAGCTTTTCTTTTTTTTTCCTCTCCCAGAAATGGTTTCCTAAAACACTGGACTGTGTTCTGGGAATATGTTGTGGAAGTACCTCCCCTGCCATCCCTTAAGTGCAGACACAATAAAATCCAATAACTGGAGGAGAAAGTTCATCTCCTTTTAGAAACATATTCTGGCACCTCAAATAGGACCTTTCATGTCAGGAATTATGTGCAACAGTTCCTCAGGAAAGCAACTAAACAGCCATAAGGAAAAAACTCACTCAGTGGAAATTCAAATGCATAAAATTATACTGAGAATTATAGAATATATGCCAAACACCCAGAAGGAGAATGTGTCCAGCTTTTTTATCTGAAGTGTATACGTTTTAGAGGGTGTTTTGATTAAACAAACTAAATGCTCAGGGTGAGAATGACATACTCATAAAGGTTCCAAGAGAGACATTGTACAATATAAGCAATGTATTCATATCAAGCCTACTACTATGCAGATTTCCCATTTTCTCTACAAAAAGACTATGCAAACTGTACAATGTCTTATGAATGTACCCCAAAAGGCCCATATAAAGGCTGGTGGTTAATTACTGAAAGGTTAACGCAATAATCTGACATGACCTCAACCACCAATGGGTGCTGCAGGCATTTCAAACAACAGATGCCTTTTTATCGTCCACTGTAGTGTCATGATTCTGGGCTTTCTGAAAAGCAGCTCAGTCCCCAAAGGGCCAGATTCAATTCACTCATATGCCTGTGCCTGGCAGAAGTCACTAGTCAGCCATGTCAGTACCAAAGACCAAGCCAGATAGAGGCCCTAAGGAACAGGTGTCTGGGAAATGCATGAGCTGGGCACATGTTCATCACTGAAGAGGGGCTCTGGGAGGGCCCTGCTGCTGGGCCCTAGACGTCCGAGACCAAGGACACAGCCACCTACTGTAAATATGAATGTTTTGGATGGGTACAAATTAAAAAGTTAAAATATCCTTAGATGAAATGAATAGATTCCTTCTTGGTATTTTCACACTGAGCTGTAAATCTTCCCATGTGTTGTGTTGCAAAAGAAGAGAGATCTGGACAAACCTCAGCTGAGGGAGGGATTCTGAGCTGTCTACACAATGACTTAAGTTTTTTGTTGGTGAGATATGTTAACACTTTCTTCAGGGATTATATTGTGAAGACCGAGTGTTACCATTTCCATTGGGAATTGCACTGAAATACCTGTAAAGGGCCTTCATCCCCCAGGGTAATTCCAAGATGCAAGAGCCCTCATCTCAATAAACTTTGCCCGGTTCCCATCAAAGTCCCCAAATGGCAGAGTGCGCTTCCTGGGCTCACACACTTCAGCCTGATTGCATCCATTATGGACAGGTTTACCAGCAGACACAACACCTCTCAATCTACGCTTCCCAATTTCTCTCTCAATCAGGACCAACACTGATTTCTTTCCCAACTGAATGCGTTTCTCTTTCGTCTTCCTACTGTGGACCTTTCCTCTGTCTCTGTGCTGATTTCCTACCACTGAACAGCCCCACAACTTATTCTCAGTGATGCTTTGGGAAACATTTCTAACTCTGAGGGATAGTCCCAGCAGGCCTGGAAAACCCAGGCCCCTCTGAGCAGTCCCACGTGTCTACAGCTTTCTTTGTAGTACTGGGCCCAGCCTGCCTCTGGAAGAAGAATTTTAGTGCATGTATAGAAAAGCTCCTTGGCCACCAGGGAAAATAGTGATGTTTCCAGTTATCCTGGTGATGCGTGGGCTTAAAAATCGATTATCTTCTCATTTGCTTCAGATATGTTAGGTAAATTCTGGATTTAACAAAGAGCAGTCACCTGTCCACTATATTTCTGTACAGTCTAAAGGAAAATCATTCATTTTCTCTTTCAAGGGAATGTTTACATACAACTGTTTTCATTTCACAGTAACAAACACTGAGATTGGATCTGGTTCCTCCTGTACACACAAGTATAACAAAAAGATCTGTTACCTTTGCCACAGTTTTTGGTTCTGATGTATTCAAATTTGCGTCTTGACCAGGAATTCGGACTCCAAAAGACCAGCCTCCGAGCCTGGTAACAGTAAATATGGTGTTAGTGCTTTAATCAATGAGCACCAGGACTCCCAACTAGTGGGCATTTCCTTGCTGATTAACTAGTTATAATGTCCTTAGAAGGGCAACCAGCTGAGCACCCATGACCTGGAAAGTGGCCATGCAGGTGGGTCAGAGTACAGAAGGAAGAAGCCTGACTGGTAGGGAAGGTACCCAGGGGGGTCTTGCTCATTTAGAAGGTGTGGATAAGACCTGCTGCATTAGAAAGTGTGCCTCCTAGAACTTAACCGTCTTATGGGAAACTCCTACCATGGTCGTGATCACCAGCACTCTAATTATTTTAATCAGTGGTCATTTTCTCTACAAATAGCTTTCCCAAATGACTTAGTTAGCCATGCTTCTCCAGGCAGCTCCATTTTGCATTGTTCTGCCTTCCCTTAACTTCAACACAAACCCTGCCTCATTCAGGAAGGCATCCGGAGCACCCGAGCAGGAACAGAGTTCCTTCTCTTTGGGGATCTCCTGACACCCTACATTTTCAACGACTGCATCAACTGTCACTCTGGGCGTTAATTATCTATTTGCTCATCCTGTAGGCATCTCTGTGAGTTTTTCCAGGTGAGGATTATATCTCTGATCTCCATACCCCTGGCCTGTGGAGTATCCAACACTTATTAAGCTTCCAAAAATATTGAACATTGGGAATAAAGGCACATATTGAACTTTGCATCCCATGGTCTGGAGAAAAGGAAACTGAGGGACAAACTTCTGCCAAAGGGCTCTGACTCTCTGCAGAAACTAAGGCAAAGGACTCAGGATACTTTTCCACCTGCCTCCATTCATTCATTCAGTCAGTCAGTCTAGAATAAATTCATTACAGAGACACTGACTGCACACCAAACACTATCCTAAGTCCTGGGATACAAACTCCTGCCTTCAGAAAGCAGATTCTGGGAACTGTTTTGAAGACATGAAGAGGTGGCCCAAGAGGAGAGGCCGGCCAAGCACCCTGGGGTCTGGGGGCACCCAAGGAGGACGATGCTGCTGGGTGGCAAAGGTGAGGAGGGAAGGCAAGGAGGAAGGGGTGGGGCAGATCCCGGGCACCAAGTACAGACCACCAGACACTTTGGCATTGATGCATAGGGATGATATGCCCGCAATTAAAGCAAGGAGACGTACTTATTTAGAGTCAGCCCCTTAGCCTGAAGGAAACTCAGCACAAAAACAAAAGCTTTCCCAAAAATCACCTGAGAGGAACCTTAAGACACCAGTTGCACCAAGATTCCCATATCAAATGCTGCCCAGTAGAGGGAATTCTCAAAGGAGACCATCATTTCAACTTGCTGTTAATTCATCTGCCCTTATTCTTGAAGGCAGTAAAACTGCTTCTGTTTCCCCTGAGCAAATCCCAGTTGCTATGATTCCCCACAGAGCAAAAGGGTGAAACTCCGCATTAAGGGATCTCATTAAGGCTTGCTGCACTTTGAAGTTTCTGTGAGCATCAAGGTTAGAACTAGGCTTAGAACAAGGTTAGAACAAGGTTAAAAACTTTTGTGTTTTTAAAAACATTAGCATTTGAAACAACAGGCTTTCCAGAGTAACGTGAAGAACCACAGCCCCAGCAGGAATTCTGAACCCACCTTGGTTTTGCAAAGGGCAGCAGCAAATACTCCTCCAGGTGGAAGGCTGAGAGGTTCAGCAGAGTGTGGCCCAGGCGGTTGGTCAGGTAGGGAGCCAGGGCACTGCCATTGGGACATGCCTGTAATTGTTTTCAGAGAGATAAAATAGGAACTCATTTAAAATGCACAATCAGTTTTACTGATGTGACTTTAAACCAAATATGACTCTTCCTACCTTTCCTTTTCAAATAAATTATCTACAGCCCTTTAGATGTTCTGATTTCCAAATCTCTTTAATAAGAGTCACCTACATTTGAAAATCACACCAGAATTCCACTGTGACCTTGGCTATCAATTATATTTGGGAACTTCAGATCCTTTTCCGCATCTAAGTTTGGGCAGATGTGCAAGAACCAAACAGGGAAGACTGATTTCATGGGGGTGACCCTGAATGTGATGAACCTAAAAGAGAATCGGAGGCAACAAGTGGGGGGACGGGCCGCCGGAGAAGCCAGAGAAAGGCACGCGTCTCCTCCCCCAGCGCCTGAAGGAGTCACATATCCCTGCCGCCACACTTCCTTCAGGGCGCTGACAACCCCGCCCACCGAGGCTCTGCTCAGGGCTGCCCTGCCCTGCCCTGTCCGCCTGGCTTCCAGGGCTTTCTCACCATTTCCCAGAAGAGCTTAGGAAAGGTAATATGTTAAAACCTGTTAGGACACTGGAAATCATGCCTTGTCCAGACTTTTCACTTCGGCTTCGGAAGCTTGTTTGTTCATGTGCCAAATGGAAGTTAAACCAGCCTCACCCAACTCACGGTTTTTGTTAGATTTTGATGTACACAAAGAACTATAGCAAGGTGAGAGTGTTCTATGAATTCAAGACATGACTTTCAGTTTCTTGGTTGAAAGGCAGGGAAAGACACTAAAAGGAGGAAGAGCTGTTTTCAATCATTATGCAGCTGAGCTCCTCGTGCACAGATTGATGGCCCCACTTTTCAGCTTCCCTGCGTCCAGCCCCTCTCTCTGATCCACCTTAACACAACATCATGATGCAGCTTACTGAAGCACTGTATTCATTTAGATGACTCTCTTGCTGCAAAATCAAATTCTTATCAAGAAGTCAAGTCCACCGGCAAATGCCCAGAGGCTCTCTTTCTGACCATATCTGTTTAGTTCAGTTCTCCCGGAACACAGGCTGTGCAGGAAGCTGAGTAAGGGCACCAGAGGCACCAGCTCCTGACTGCCGGGCTCGGTGAAGGTGCCTTGGATGGCAAAGGCTTGCAGATGCAAAGAAGGTAAGGATGTGGAGACGAGCAACTATCCTGGATCATCAGGGTGACCCTCATTCAGTTTCATGTCCTCCTGAGAGGGAGGCAGGGTGGTCATAGAGAGAGGGAAGCAGGTGGCATGAGCACAGAAGCCAAGGCAGAGGGAACCAGAGGCTGGAAGAGACAAGGGACAGACTCCCTTCCGGCACCTCCAGGGCAGCACCTTGATTCCATCCACGGATGCTGATTCAGAATTCGAAGGACAGTGGGAGGATTCATTTGCATTGCTTGAAGCCATGCAGTTTATGGCAGGAGGCCCAGGGAGCCCAGACAGCCTCCATTCCCTGTCTACACACTCACTGCTGATCACAGGGTTCTGGCCCTGTGGTTCTCCACAGAGAGGTAGGCCCTGTGATGCCCACTGGTTCTCCAGAGCCAGCTTGGTTAAATTCCCCCAGGGGCTCTCCGAAGGCATCTTGCAGAGTAGTGCTCCCCCTCAGAAGCAAAGTAACCTGGGAAACTTGCTGCAGGTCTGGAGGGGTCATGGTATATTTGCTAAATATACAAGAAAATAGACAAATTCTTATAGATCGGAACTTCTGGGTAACAGATGAATTTGAGCAGTGAGAAGCAGTTTGCCAGGTAACTGGGGCAACAGTCACTAAAGACCAGAGAACAGGTCCTGGGGGGACCTTCCGCCCACCACATGCATCTCCTTCAAGCTGCCCTGCAGACCTGGGGACTTCATGAATTCCACCCACTCTCGCTTAAACCTCTCTGACACTTACTGTTTAGACACATACTTATCAAAGTGCACCCCAAAGAACACAGGTGCCACAGAAAAGAGGGATGCTTTAGTCAAACAATTTGTAGAAAATGCTACATCTTTTCCACCCTCCTCGACAGTTCAGATAATAGCATTCTAGAAGAGCCGTAGCAGAGACCTTCTAAACACATCCAGCTTTCTCGGAAGCTTATGTTGTGCATGGAACTTTTTCACGTGAACCTTCTGTTTTGTTTCCTCCCTACATAGTACTGAAATCTTGTAGTTCAGGTAAGTTGGAGTGAAATTATTTATTCCTTCACTGCTTTGCCGCTGACACCTAACCCCCTTCCACTAGGTTGCAGGTAGCTTGTCACAAAAGGCACCAGGATAACAGAATGACTAAATCAAGGCCACGAAATAGTAGCATAGAGACAAAAATTGGAGGTTTCATGAGTAAATGGAGCAAACAACACAGGAAAAAATAAATCAGAAAAATAAATCAATAAATCTTGAACAAAGATCATTTGTCCCCTCAAAGGAGCACCAAATACAGCTCTGGGTTTATCCTGGACCATGTTCCTGGGTTTGACCCGGAGTATGTGGAGCCCCATCTGCACTTTGAGGTCAGCCACTGCCTGCAGGCTGTGTGGCTGCTGTCACCACATTCGAAACTCGTGCCTAAGAGAGGAAAGCAGACCTGCTCCATCCAAAGAAAATTCTCTGAAGTCATGACACTATCAGGAGGAATGGATCCCATGGGCACCCACATAAGAGCCCTGTGAACGTTCTCTTCATGTGGCCATTTCCTTAACAGATCCTCGGTTCGCTCTGATGGAGGTTTTTTTGCTTTTCCTTTTTTTCCATCAACTGGGATTGCCACATTAGTATGTCGATTGTGACTGAACATTCCACACCTTTTATTAATTGCCTTTCAAAATCTCTTTTAAGATAAGTTGCTATCAGTTGTCCAAATAAATTATGATTCATTCTCCTCCACAGACCAGATAGCTATAGCTTCTCTTTCATACCAGAATACCTACATCTACATATTTTTGTAGGAATCAACCATGACAGAAAAGAATGATGCTTAACTTTTAACATCTTGCTCTCAGAACTCAAATAAATATATGACAAAAGCTTTGAGGTCATCCTGCCTTAAAAAGCCCCGAAAGGCGACAAATGGGAGCACCATGGTGGAATCCGTACAACATCCACATTGCAAAAATGTACACTTTATGTAATGAAACTTTGCCAAGAACCAGCTAATCAAGTAAATCAGAAAGTCACAGAGGCTCACTGACTTAACAAAAATGAAGATTTTACAGATGGAGTGAACTCATTTTGTTACTTGAGGTTGAGACTTTAAAAAGATCAAAAACAGTATAAACCTACCAGGCAGCCACATGAGTCCCGGACTTCTTGGTGAGAAAAGGGATCTGTGTGCCAGCATGAAGAATTCTTCCTAACAAAACAAAAGAGAGAAGGGAATGATCTTTCAGATTACAAAGCTATTGTACTTCCACAAAAGAGAGTTCCATTAGACCAGAACACAGTTCACAAGATAATCATCTCCTGCTGTAGAAGGCAGAACTCTTAGATTTGTTTTCACAGCTCGAGCTGTTAATCTGATGACAATGTTTTATTACAATGACAATATTTCCATCCTATTAAATGATGCTTACTTGGGTGGCTGTACTGAAGGCACTAGGGCTCCCTGGGACTTCCATGGAGATTGGGGGGCTTGGCTTAAATCCTGACGCTCCTAGTCAGCTGCCAGTTCCTTTTCATGGCATGAGAGCAATTTACGCATCATTTAAAGAAAATAATTACTAAATTCCCATTATGACAAAATGCTACAACAGGAACAGTTAGGAGGACAACTTGCAGCCATGGTTCAAATCCTTTTTATTCCAGAACTTCCCTCTAGCTTGGTCCCTTGTAGGCTCTATACTTTGATTTTTTTTTCTTTTTTTTTTCACTTATGTTTGTAAACCAAACATTGATTTAGTAATGGTAATTATTCCTATTCACCCAAAAATTGGGAAAGAAGGGAGGAAGCAACACTTACTAAACTACAGGAACCCCACTAGGTATGTTTGCACATGTTCTTGCTCTGCCCACTTTTTAGAAGAGTAAGTGGAGGTCTGAGTGGTTCAGTAGCTCATCTGACAGTTTAGACTGGCCTGTCAAGCTCAGAGCCCATGATCTTTGCTCCACACAAGAACACAAAGGTGAAAAATGTCCAGTCCAATTAAAAGAAATCGCCGCTTCTATTAGCAGGTCAGCCATGTACAATTTCCACTGATTTTTTTTTAATCAAAAGTAATTTACAGATCCCCAATAATACAGTCTTGGTTATCTAGTTTATGGGGACTCCAGTTTGAGACTTTAAAGTAACAGTGGCCATACCACCTAAGGGAATAATGTGTTTAATCAGCTGCTGTAGCTTATAATCATGTTTTTAAAAAGGACTCCATGCACACTTCTTAAACTCAGCAGGGTGGGGCCCTCTCTACTGCTCCCAGGCCTTCCAGCTGCTGCCTCCACTGACTGTTAGCAAGCGATTACTGCTTAAAGAATTTCTCCAAACACTCAACCCTCTTTGTCTCTTCCAGACCCTCCCTTCTCCTCTTTGCTGGCTTTGTGGAGTACAATATGTGGCCTCTGGAGCTGCACAGTGACCAGCCACAGTATTAGGCAGAAGACAGACATAAGAGGGTGGATGGAGAATAAAGCCAGTGGAGCCCATTAAAGGGGACTCTGAGAGTTAACCAGATAAGGCTAGAGAGCCAGAAAGGGCTCACAGAGTTAATGAATTAATTAGCTGAACTTCAAAGGCCAGGAGTAACTTGGAATGTCTGGATATTCCTCAGATAAAGAAAAGTATCAGAGGAATCTATATCTTCATTGTACCAAGCAGATCCTGCCATTGTAAAATCAGCCTGCAAAAAAGGCCCAAACTTATTCTTTAACTTAATCTATATGCTGTTCTTCCTCTTCTTCCAGCCCCTTAATTAAGTAACTTTGTAACCAGGACAGAAGATAGACCTCCAAAATGAACATAAACCTATCTAGATAAAGAATGCTGATTTCCAGACCAACACAGTCACCTACATAACCTTATTCTTAAGACAAAACTTCAAAAGAATTATAAACCACCTGTATACACCATGCCTTATGCTGACTCCTACCTAAAGAGCCCTATAAAACTCCAAACCCTAAACCCTAAACCCTTAAGTGCCGCTCCTCCCTCAGGTCACCTGCATTCCCCTTTATTCTAGTGTGCCACAAGTCTACACTCTGTCTCCGTTCTACTCCAGGTAAGTAAGGAGAAGCTGCTGAGAGCTCTGATTTGGGCCTGCAAGTTCCCATTGCCTGGGTGGCCCAGGCAGGACTGCAGCTGTACGACCATGCTCTTTAGTAGCCTGCCTGAAAATCTCCTTTCTTTGCCTCTGGGAAGTCCTCAGAACCTAATCTCTCTCCATCCAGTGCTTGGCAGCTCCCCCAAATCCTGCGGTGGTGGGGGCTTAAATCCCACACTGTGCATATTCCAGCAGACACTGGGCGCCAGGTGACCCAGCCTTTAGGAGTTGGCAGGGGATCTGCCCTATGCTGAGCAGAGTTTGGTGAGCTTCCCTTCCTCCCTCTGTTCTCCCTCGCTCTCTGCTGCCTGCAAGGCCGCTACCATTCCCTGCTATTCTCGCTTTGCTAAATTCCTTCCACATTTTTCTCTCTGACTTCCCCACATCTCTGAACCGAATTCTTTCCCAACAACAGTACTGCACACAGTTTGGATTTGGGAACCTCTGAGCCTCCCAGAACTTTTGTGTCCAAAGATCCGCTCTAAAGCTGAGTGAGCATTCAGACAAGAGACGAAGGAGAAACTGACGTGTGAGGAAGGCCCGTGTCCCCCTGCATGCTCTGGAGGGCACAGCAGCCGTGCTGGCATCCCACAGTAAGTGTACCGAGAGAGCATGCTGGGGTTCTTCCAGTTTGGAAGTGCTGATTAAACAGATCTCTTGATGGTCTGATGCGCATTTGAATCTCAGAAAGAGAGGGAGATGCCCGAAGGGACTACGTTTTCTGAGACACACACTTGCCTAAAAGAACAAAAGCCTTCACAGGGGCCACCAGTGGCTGCTCTTTCTAGAGAACAGGGAGCACATTGAGGCAGAAAGGGCAGAGAGAGGGTAAAAAACTTGCCCACACCACACAGCAAATACCTGGTAAAGCTGAGATGTGGGTTCAGGCAGCCTGGTCCCAGAATCTGGGTTCTCCACCCCTTTTCCATAATGCCTGATCTGCACACTCTATGCTTGTGATTCTTGACAGAAACTTCAGTCTTTATAGGCCCCTCTGAGAAATCTATCACCAGCCATGCCAGACTGCAAGGACCTGACCTCATGAGATGGGAACTCAGACCATCAATATGACTCCTCCTATTGCTGCGATCTAGCTGTGGAGATAAACCTTACGCATCTCCCCACTTGGCTTTTAAAGTTCAGTGGAAATACACGATTTGCTTGCTACCACTTTGTTTTCTATAAAGCATTAACAAAATAGATGGGGAAATGGCCATGTTACCTCAGCAGTAGTAGAGAAAATTGTCACCAGAGTGTCACCAAGTTCTGTGCCTTAAAAAATGGAACTAAACACAGCCATACCTCATGTTATTATGCCCTGTTTTATTGTAGTTTGCAATAAATTGCATTTTGTGTTTTTTACCAGTTGAAGGTAGTGGCAACCCTGAGTCTAACAAGTCTGTCAGCACTGTATTTCCAGCAGCATTCTCTCAGTGTGAGCCTCATTTTGGTAACTCTGGTTGATATTTGGTAACTCATGTTGATATTTCAAACATTTTCCATTATTACTGTATTTGTTACTGTGATCTGTGGTCAGTGATTATCACTAACTGAAAGCTCAGTGATGTTAGCATTTTTTAGCAATAATGTGTTTTTAATTAAGATATGTACATTGTTTCTTTTAGACAGAATGCCATTATGCACTTAGTAGAGTGCAGTATAGTGTAAACCTAACTTTTTGTGCACTGGGAAACCAAAAATTTTATTTGCTCACTTTATGGCAAACTTGCTTTGTTACAGTGGACTGGAGCAGAACTCACCAATATTGCCAGGCATGCCTATATTTCTATCTACAAGTCTGCTTCTAAAAGTTGGTATCTTCAGCACATTTTAAAGCGTACATCACACATCATTTACTATTATGAAAAACTTATACTTCAGGTCAGGTTTATACCACAGTGGATTTTTCTGGAACCCTTTACTGCCTTCTGTACGAGAGGGAAGTAAAAGTCAGAACTTCAACGTCAGACCCTCACATACGATGCTGAGTATCATCACAGAAAATCAATCAATAAGCAGAATCTAATCCACTATTTTAAAATGTTTCCTCTAATTAACAATCATGTGATTGCTAAAGTCTTCCAGGAGGACAAAAAGTGGCTATCCTTGAATTCAGTGATATTTTACATATATAGAGGGAAACTTAGATGTTTTAAGTCAAATCTTATGCTTCAACCTGGGACCTTAGCAAACCAAGTCTTGTGTGTGTGTAACATGGACAGAAATTATTAATGGTATAAAAGGCATGGTGATGAGCTGCAGGGCAAGCTGCCCTAAAATATCCTTCTGTGGCATATTGATGATTTTGAATTAAAGTAACATAAGCAGCAACCAGGGCCAGAAGGACACTTGGACACTGCTCTGTCTTCCTGGAAGCAGGAGACCACCCTCCCTGTGAAGGGCACCCTCCCTATACTAGAGGAAGGAGGTCCTCATCACCGAAGAAGGAATTCAAGGCCAGGAAGGCGGTGTGAACAAACCCTCGTACTTCTTGACTGATTTGGTGCCCCAGCCCAAACGTCTTGGCTTTGTCAGCTCTTCACAAATGTACAGTTTCTTGGTTTCTTTGTCTAAAAGGCATAAAAGCTGCCTGCTTCGGTCACTTCGCTGAGTCTCATATTTCTATGAACTCCAGTACGTACGAATGAACTTTGTTTTTCTCCTACTAATCTGTCTTTTGTCAGTTTAACTATCAGACCAGTCAAAGACCCTAGAAAGAAAGAAGAGAAAACTTTTCTGCCCCTACTGCAATACCTCTGTGTGAGGCCACCCAGACCCAGCCTTTTGCCATGCTGACCAAGAGAAAGGGTAGAAATGGTTACAAAATAGGAATGAGTCAGAGATAGGCTAGGTGGGTTTCACAAAGCAAAAGGAGAAAATCAAAATACAGATCCTGGAAGGGAGCAGGAAGGTTGAGGAGAAAAGCATTAAGGTGGTCTGCAGGTGGAGCTGGGGAAGGTGGCTCTGAGGGCTCACAGAGGAGGAGAGTGAATGTCCAAACAGAATTTTGATCATGTTCTGTTCTCTTTAGCACTGATCCTATGCTTCCCTCCCTAGAGATGGCCTTCTACCTGCCAACTCTGTTTCTTTGTTGCCCAGTTGGGCCAGGACTAGACTGGTGGGCTACATTCCAATTTCTCAAAGCAGATGCATCTTATATCCCGTGTGTTTCAGTAGGCAGGAGGGAAATAAAAGCATCACCATAGAAGCTTTTACTTAGTAACTTAAATTAGTTTTTTCAAGGGAAGACTAAAGTGAAGCAACATAATTAATGTTCTATTAATTCCTCCTTACGAGACCACTAATAGTATTCAGGCTCCAGTTAATTGCCGACATGACTAATGCATAAAATGTGCCACTGCAAATTAGAAACGCATATTGACAATATTGCATTATTGTCTGGCTTTTTATATTTATTACTTAAAAACATACACTCTAGTACTTATTACATCATTAAATTTTTTATCACTTTCGCCATTTGCTCTACTCAGAATTGTAAATTCCTGACACCAGGGCCATGTACTCTATCAATTCTGGTTCCTATAACAGCACTGTATTTATAGTAGACCCTCAATAAAAAACAATTGAGCAAAATAAGACAGAGAGACTTTTTCTGTGAAAAAAGTCATGATTTATCATGGTTTCTTAAAAAGTCATCTCTGTATTATCATTTTTAAATACTAGAAAAAAATCTTCAAAGTGATTTAACCTCAGAATGATATGACTGACTTTTTAAGTCCCTTTAATTATAATGATCATCGGTCTTTTGCTATCTACAAGTTTTCCCTAAAGGTAAATAACCATTAATACAAGTTTCATATATACCTGATACTTTATTCATTTTTAGCTTTGGGTTTAATAAACAATGCTATTAATTATTAATCAGTTTTTTTAATAATAATATAAAGCCAGTGTTGATCAGGGAAGGAAACAGGCAATCATGAAGCTTATTCCCGATCATTTTAGATGGCAACCCCGCTGAGGCACTCACCCACTCATTAGGTTAATGGTCATTTCACATAATGTAAATTTGCAACATGGAAAACCAGTTCATAGAGGGAGGTGGCCCCACCATCCTCACTTTTGCAGAAGCCATCTGATACTTACAGGTCTCGGTTTAATTCGGGGCAGAGCAGATCCTGATCGCCAAACTTTCGCAGAAGCACATGGGCAAGTTTGAAGTCTTCACTCTCGCTGCTGTTCATCATTAGACAAAGGAAACAGGTGGCCTGTTAGTATTCACCCAACCGACAGACATCACAGGACAGTCTGACCTCGGAGTGTGCCTTGGTCAAACTGATCCGGGCAACTGTTCCTTGTCGTTCAGATAAAGCTAATCATTCCCTGTTTTTGTGGGAAAGCCAAACCAGCAATGGGATTAAGACATCTGTTAAAATCACAGTGTTGCTACCACACAGATATGCATTTTATATACCTGATCTGTGATGTGTTATTTTTCTCATCTCTTCACTTAGTATTATAATATTACCATCTTTGGCATTTCTGCATGGCTTTTAAAAATAAATTTTAAAGGTGGCATAACATTATACCATATTATTTAATATAACATATTAAAATATATAAAATTATTCTCTTACTGTTGGAACTCTGGGTTGTTTTGAATAGTCATTCTATTACAGAATCATGCAATAAAACTTCCTATATTTATGGGGGATTTGTTTGTTTCTATATGTGAACTATATTAAACAACATTTTCTTGGTAAGAAGTCCTCAGCACAGACTTTTATGTGCGCTCTAAATATACTTGGAAGTCTAGTACTTATTTTACTGGCACAAGTCTCAGAAGTCGATTAATAGTTCAAGCAGTGTTGCACAGAATAAGGCTACTAATACTGAAGTTCCCTACTGAAGACTCCATCAGCAGTAAGACACATTATTATCCTAGTTTGGGGGCAGGGTGGAAACAAGTTCTGTGTTCAATTTTATACACCAATTGTAAGAAACATCCTGACTTCAGAAAATGCACAGGAAAACATATTTTAAACCTATCTAAATTAGACTGATTGGGAATCAGCTCATTTTAATTAATTAAAATTCTGAATTTTAATATTTATGAAAGAATACAGATTTATTACTTTCTGGACCTTACATTGTATCATTTACAAAATGCTATTCAATAGACCTCATTGGGCACACTTACTCAAAAATAAAGAAAATTGATGTATTGTTGCATGATGGATTACTTACATATAAATGGTGGCCTCCAGTCTTTCTGGAAGGAAGCAGTACATGATTTTAAAAAAGTACATAAATGGTTTCTTTTAAAGAATTTACAACATTAGCTTAAGAAATGTAGGAAACCATAATGTCCCTCTGACTGGTAGCTCGGGCTTGGAGGGGCTGCTCCCTTTGAAGTGCATCCTACATCCCTGCTCCTGGTAGGAAACTCCACAACCACTGTGAAGTTCTCAGGTCTTTCTCTGCCTCCTCCCCTCTCCTGTTTCTGCCACGTGGCACTGACAACATCCACACTGGTGCTGAACCAGGGGCTTCCTGTCATGGAACTCACAGCCCACAAGGGAGTGGGCACAGGCTTGGGACAGTAGTTGGAACACAGTAAATTCTCAAATATAATTTGTTGAACAAACTGTGGTTTTACTGATGTGCTGAAATCATAGACCTTATCCTTCATCCACTATTTTACTTCTTTAAACTTGGTCTTCCCTGACCTCTTCCCTTTCAGAGAGGAATAATTTTAATGGAAAGGAAATTCTGACCCATTACACCAAAGTAGCTTTGTATATCTGCTGAGGACAACTGTGTTCAGAACACTTACTATACAGAAAGTTAGAATAACATCCCCACTATAGCATCCAAACCCAGAAAATGATGTATAGGAAACACCATCTTCCCCCATTGCATAAAATGCAAGAAAGATTTTTAAATATTCAGGTATTTTACAGCTGGCCTAATATGATTTCCTGTAGCCATGGCCAGAGTCAGGCCATGATGAAACTTGCTGAAATTTACAACCAAGTTATGTCTCAGAAGCAGGCAGTGTGACCTCTGTATAAGCAGCCTTCAAGCTTCTGACAAGTGAGAAAACACTTTTACAAGGAAAGAGACATATTTTCCACTAAAATGTTGCCCATAAAAAGAAAACATTATTTGTGGCATCTGTGGAAATACTCTGGATTGCTCTCTTTTGACCCATTTATCTAAGTATAAATAGGAAAGTTTAAAATATTATTTTCTGAAAAACAGTAACAATGCATAAAGTAGTTTGCCTGGAGTAATCACCAAGTGCAAGTTTAAAAGTTAAGGTCCACTTCTTACTACATTTTTGCTTAAATACAGAGGTCACTGTTTAAAAAACAAAGCTAAACTGTAAATTTTCCCTGCTGCCATAAGATTCAAAGACTTCTTCTGAAGTATTGTTTCTCAGTTGTCTTCAAACTCTCGGCTGTATTTAAAGTGCTGTTAGGAGCCCATGAGGAAGGCAGTTCTGGGAGGAGGGAAAGGAATCTTGCATGTGCATGGAAACGATCTGATCAATCATAGGAGACAAGCAACTGGCCATGGAGTAGACCCAAATCTGCAGATTTGACAGGGAAAAAAAGATCTTCACTTCAGGAACAAAGAAATCTTACAGGTTTGAGACAGAAAGCCTTTTGGTGAGGGAAAGAGACAGGGTGGCTGAGCTGAGGCAGATCCAACTTCATGCCTGGAAGCACAAGGTGATGGACAGCCACCCACCACCTCTGAAAAGGACAGTGCTTGGAGAGGCCGGCAGCAAACAGGACCCCTCACAGGGCAGGGCAGCAAGCACCTCCTTCGCTGACCCAGCCCAGTCCAGGGGCCCAGCACAAGCCTACTGGGAAGAAGGCTCACGGCTGCCAAGTGAATAGAACAGACACCCTGAAACAGACTGGGGACACTTCAGAGGACAGGAAACGTGTATCAGGAAAAAATGTGCTACATACTGGTACACCTGTACAAGCATTTCTTATATACCATGAACTGAACTGACATGTGTGGTTCTGGTTACATGTAGCTAGGCAACATGTAGACACATACACATAGACATACAGACATATATTTATATGTGTCCTTAAGTACAGGAACATGTCACCTCAGAGTTAAGTAAGGATTCTTAAACTAGAAGGGCATATGGCATGTGAAGGGGAGCAGAATGTCCCCCAAAATATGGCTCTTTGGCATAGGATTATGTTGAGCTGGTTATTTTTTAAGAAACAACAGCTACAGGAGAAATTCTGAAAACCACGTAGATGTCCCCCTTTTGTGAGGGAAATGTATACTGACACAGGCAATCTCCATTTATGAGGGTGTCTGTCTCTCTGTACCAGGGAGGGGAGGAAGACTAACTTTCAGGGAGTGCTGAGCAGTGGAGAAGGCAGGAGCTTCAATCTACACAACATGACCCGGGTTTAGGAGCTTTTCCCGGCCTCCCCCACCACTGACTCCACAGCCCCAACATCATCTTCTGTCTTTAGCTGAAGATGGATCCAGGTGGTGGCTGGTCCATCTCAGGAAGTTACCCAGTTTTCCTGGGTCCCTAGCCTTGTATACAGGAGGCATCCATGCTAATAAACTTCTACTTGTTTTTCTCCTATTAATCTGTTTTTTATTTCAGGGGCCTCAGCCAAGAACTTACACAGGGAAGGGAATAGTGCCCACTAGATAAGTGGAAAAAGAGGAATTGTTCAATAAATGAAATAGCGAAATTTGGTGATCCATGTGGGGAAAAAATTAATTTAAGTAACAGACATTAAAAGTACAAAATCTACTGCAGATGGTTTAAATATTAAAAGAAAAATTTAATGGTAGAAAATACGGCTTTAAAAATGTGAAAACTTTTTTGATCTTGGCATGGGAAAATATTTCCCTACCAAGACAAAAAAGGACTGAAATAAAAGCAGCTACTCTGTAGTCTGGAAATCAGCAAATATAAATAATAAACTCAAGGATATTTCAGTAAAATAAAAAGTGATTGATATCCAATGAAATAAGAATAGAATTAATTATCTATCCAAAACTTGTAGGCACTCTGCATTTGGCCATCAAAACATTTCTTTTAAGAAATAAAAGATAATGACACAAGGGTAGAAGATAACTCACAACACCCTTGTGAAAATTAGTGAGGGAAGCCTCATTGAAAGTGGAGCCGGAGACCTGCAGGGGGCGCTCTCCTGCGGGACCGGCTCCCGGCTGCCTGTGTAACGCACAGGGAGAAACAAGGTCATTCTTAACAAGAGTGGCCACTTTTCACATGGGAATTTTCTCTCCTGCTGTGGGTGAAATTGCAATATTTCCAGAATCTCTCACCTGGCCTTAGTGCATCTCCGTATCAGTAGATGTTTCCAAGGGGTGGAGTGAAGTAGTCCATCTCCATATTAATAGGTAATTATAAAGGGGAGCAGAGCGAGGGCATATCTGGACCAGAGAGATTGAGTGGGGTCCCTTTTTTGCAGCTGGGTCATGAGAGACACAGGAAAGCAGAAGTGGACAACTTGTAAGCAATAAACGGGTTTCTCTCACTTTATTTTTCCCTTTGACTGATTTCAGTTTCAAAGGTAATTTTCCCCCGGGAGTTACACCTGCGTTTAAGTGAAAGCAGGAAGATCTCTCCCTCATCCAGCATCCAGGCAGTAGCCCCCACTTGCAGCCAGCGAGGAACCTCCCCAGCCTCAAACTCTTGTTCTCCAATGTACATTTGTTCAAATCCACCCTCCTCGAATTCCCTCCTAATACCTAACAAAGGCTGCCCTTCCCTTTGTCTCTCTGGACTTGCTATGGCTTGCCGTAGTTTTCATGTCCCAAATTGCAATTCTTCTGCTATTTCCAAATAAACTCATTTCGTTAGCAAAATAACTAGCTATTTTAAGGTTCACACACAACAGTAAAAAACAATTCATATGACTATATAAATAAATAATGTATAATAAGGGACATAAAGAAAAGGCAGAAACATCCAAAATGTAAAAAAGTGGACAGGACACAAACAGGTATTTCACAGAAGAGAAAAAGCAAAACATCAACATATAAACAGACATCCACCCTCATTAGTGGCCAACAAGATGCAAATTATGACCACAATAAGATACAAGGTTTTGGTTTTTGGTAAACAACCCTTTCATTAGCAACAATTGAAAATTATAAAAGTACATGAAGCATTGAAGAGGATGCATATTTGCAGAATCTCTTACCCAGGGCCA